GGGGGGGGGGGGGAGAAAGGAAGTTGATGTTGTCCGAGAAAAAATTTTTCCGGAAAATTTTTTAAAAAGGGTCCCCTAAAAAAATGCCCCGGGCCCGCGCCAAGCTCTCGGCGGCCCTGCTCAACGAGTTCTTAAATTGAAATCAGTTGTTGATGTCCTCTTTAGTCACCCGCATCCAGTATTACATCACCGCCAAGCAAACTTTCAAGCATCACAAAATATTTGAAAAGTCCTCGTCGAGGTGAGAAAGCCAAGCAAACAAAATCAAAAACAAAGAAATCTACCAGAAAAGGAAAATCTAAAAACATTGAAAGTTATGTTGAAGACAGCTCAAATGTGGGCGGAAACAAAGTAGGTTCAAGTAAGACAACAGTAGGTGAAAGTGATGCAAGTGTAATGGAGAACACAAGTGTGGCAACAACATGTGGACAAGAACAACATTTAGAACAGCCAGGTGAAACGCTTAAGAAAGGTGCATCAAGTAGTCCTTGTGAAACTGGCGACAGGGATGACCAAAGTTCCCCTGGTCCAGCAGTAAAAGACAGTGTCATTCGTAGCTCCCTTGATCCAGCAGAGGACAGGGACGTTTCTAGTACCTCTGGCCAAGCAAGGGGTGAGGACAGTGGGAAAAGGAGAATGGTTCAGACAAATCTATCAATGAGCAAGGATGGTATTCAAGTTCTATCCAGTCCAGAACAGAAAAGTGAAAAGAAGAAAGAGAAGAAAGGGAAGAAAGCAAGGTAAGCAGGAAAATGTGAAACTTTCTAATTTTTAAGCAAGCATGAGTGTTGGTAGTCATGCATTGTTAGAAGGACATTCTAACCCATTGAGTGGCAGCACTCTCCACTTGACGAGTAAAATCGTCTGGTGTTAAGGTCCAGACACACCGGATGCGATTCGACAACGCGACGCGATTTTTACTCACCGATAACTTTGATTCTAATTTAAATTTTCCAAATATTTAGAAGTTATTTGGAGTTATTTGGAACATTTGGAGTTATTTGATCTACATATCATTCAAAATTTGCTCTCATTGGCTGTTTTATTAACTTTCAAAAACTAAAAAATCTCGTCGCGTTGTCGAATCGCGTGCGGTGTGTCTGGACCTTTAGACAGAGTAAAATACTAAAGTAGGGTGCATCGGGGTGCATTGCCACTTAAAGGGTTAAGTTCTAGATTAACAAAATAAAGGTTTGATGTGTTCCAACTATGTTTTAACTTAAATAAAATACATGATAGTGTTGGGAAAGCATTAAGAACAGCTAACCAAGTTCGTGTGACTGCCAACTCTCAACCTCGTTCCATACATGACTTGTTGACCTTCGAAGTCCAGGTGTTAGGGACTGGTCATAAAGTAACTGCTAGGGTGGGCTGGAGGTAAATCACAAATTTTTCCAATAAGTTTGGTGACACACCTTAGGATGTAGATAAAAATTTCAAAGCCCATCTAATCTTACAAAAACTTTTTCATGACCCACCCAATCTAAATTGGGAAAATTTTATAATAAGAAAAACTTGCAGGTATGAACATTGTAAATATACACCGGCACTGTATTGACATACATAATTGCACCAAGATTGACCAACACATTCATCACAAATTACGATACTGAGCTGTTCTCCATTTGGTTGTATTTGCTGTGCGATCACTTCTTGTTGTTGTAAGTACTGGCTTCAATAGCATCATTCGCATTTGATAATTTGGATAGTTTTGTTTACTTTTATTATTAATGTCTTTATATAATATATAATTAACATGGGTTTTTGTTTGGTGGCCCAACCGTGGACATACAAAAAAATTGACGGCCCATCGAAACTGCCCAAAGATCTTCCATGGCCCATCCCAAATCACTCCAGCCCACCCTAGCAGTTACTTTATGACCGGTCCCTTACTAGCATTTTTATGTTCAAATGTAGTTGTGTGTGATAGTGATGTTTACATCATTTAAATTTCAGTTCAAAAAAGAAGGATGAGTCAGGAAAGAAACAAACAATGATTACAAGTATTTTCCCTCGGAGGAAAAGCAGTAGAAAGTCCAAATCTCAGCAAGAGGTAAGTAGTCAAAATTTAGATCAGAAAATTCCAAATATCACAATTTCACTTGAATACATCGCACAGCAAATGAAGTGAATGTCGCTATCACAAATGAAAGCAATTTATGCAAATGAATGCTAACAAAGGTGAACAGAAATATTTTCTTAATTTTGTAGAAAGATGAGCAGGCAAGAATTACCAAGGCCATTTTATCCCAAACGTTTGAAGGTCTAAAGGTAAGACAAACTTTATTGTTATATAGTTGGTGTCAAAGTTCAATTTTTCTGTTTGCTGATTGGTCAAAACCGTATCACGTGCCGGTCCACAAAACGTCATGTTCGGCAACCGGTCCACAGTGAAACATTTATTGACCGGTCAACAATAAAATGGGTACAATACGCATGCGCGTCAACCATGAAGTTCCAAGTTCATTTTTTTAAACTTACTAAACATTAAATCTGCTGTGTTGGTGTAATGTACTCAGGTGAATAAGATGTTTGTGTGATGTTACTCTGAGTGTATATCCACACCGGGCATGCTTGAAAAATATGCCTGGCCACGGTGGGATTCGAACCTACGACCTTTGGAATACTAGCCCAATGCTCTGCCAACTGAGCTACGCGGTCAGGACGGCTAGTATTCTAGTATGGGCTAGTATTCCAAAGGTCGTAGGTTCGAATCCCGCCGTGGTCAGGCATTTTTCAAGCCTGCCCGGTGTGGATATACACTCAGAGTAACATTACTAAACATTTACGGCGTTCCATTTATCCAGTTTTGGTTTCAAATTAAGTTCACTCCAATAACCAGTGAATTATGGCTTTGACACTGTATATATACTATATAACAAAACACTTATTTACTGAGACCTCGGGAAAGCAGTGTGTTTTGTGGCCCCTCGACTGCCGTTGTTGCCCTTGGCTTCGCCTCGGGAACAGGGCTCGAATTTTATCGCGGCAATCGCGGCAATTGCCGTAGAGGGAGAACAAAATGCCGTGGATCATTGTGGGAATGACGGCAATTTTTTGCCGTATGGTGCATTTTTTATACTATTCACTGTGCATTACTATTTTGATACTTGAATTCAGATGTTGATCAAATCATGCGTAAATCACTATTTTAGTCTCAGTTTTCTTCGAAAAAAAAAACAACTAAAGAAATACGTAGACATGTTTCTAGCTTGTCAAAAATCCAAAGTAACAATAAATTTAAAGTTTTATTACAGTAATTTGAAAAATGCCATGGAAACTGTCAAAATTGCCGTAGACAGCTGTTACGTTCTACGGCAATTTTTAACGCCATTGCCGTCGATTGATTTCAGGGAAATTCAAGGCCTGCTCGGGAAACAATGGCGGTCTCGGGTCCACAAAACACACTGTTTCCCTCGGTCTCAGTAAATAAGTGATAAATATTTAACAGAAAATTACAAGTTCTCGTTTAACAATCATGTTTTACAAAACAGGTGCGTACAATAGAAGGCAAAGGCCGTGGTGTTTTTGCAAGCCGTGATTTTCAGCGAAATGAGTTTGTGTGTGAATATTCTGGAGAGTTGATCAGTTATGACGAGGCGAAGAAGAGGGAGACACAGTATGGTGAAGACACAAATATAGGATGTTATATGTACTATTTGCGATGTAATAACAAAAGATATTGGTGAGTTGATTCGTATGTAACAGAATATTTAGGTTTGGTGGATAATCCAAGTGAGCATATATATATAGAGGAATAAGAGGAATGGATATTACACGGCGGCGCGAAGATATGACTTTTATCTTCGAGTGGTGAAAACAATATTTTACGAACGAGCGCAGCGAGTAAAATACGTTTTTAACACGAGAAGATAAAAGTCATCTTCGCGCCGCCGTGTACTGTTCTGTTTATTATTATATGGCTTTTCAAAATTCTCTATTCTGATTGGTTGACAAGCAGTCCGTAAAAACCCATATCCGGACCGTGGTCCGTATTTTCCGTATCTGGACCGGTGTCCCGGATGTTTATCTGGCGGGAAAATTTTGCTTTGCAAACAGAAAAAATGTTTGCTTTTTAATTTTCCAATTGTGCTTTAGAGAATTAATTATTTATTATTCTTTATTAAATTTTTTTAGCGTGCATGCCTACCGCATATTGTTACCCAGTGAAACTGACGATAGCCGATTTAATTCGCGCGAAAAGCATATGCTCACAGACTCAGTTCAGCCATATAATAATAAACCGATTATTGACCTCGCTTGTTCGGTCTGTACTGTGAAATATCAGACCTCTGTTTTTTTGCATGGACTTCGTTCCTTCGTTGCTCGGTCCATACTAAAAAACCTTGGTCTGATATTTCACAGTACAGACCTCACGCTCGGTCAATAAGCCGTTATTATATAGTCCCAAGCAAAAAACTGCGAAATTTCACGCTCAAAGGCAAATTGGAAAAAGTCACGTGATCGATATCTTCACTAGTGAAGATATGGAAAATATCTCACTGCGTATTTTTCAGTATCTTACTCTCTACTATATAATAAATAATATTTACACAATTTTAAGACCTGACACCAGGTCCTCTGGCAGGAAACCACCAACCAGTGGCTCTGCGATTCCGGTGCAGCGCTCTAACTGAACTGAGCTGCAGAGTCCAGTCAGACTTTTAGCCAGAAGGGCGTCCTGGGGCGCCCCTAGAACAAAAAAATGGACGCCTTTGGACGCCCAAATTCTGGGGGGAAAGGGAAATTATTTTCAATGATTTCTCTAAGAAAATTAATAATTAATATATCTGAAACGAAATAGCTTCAATTCTCATTATTATTATACATTTGACATTTTGATCAATTTCATGGTGTACCTATAGCTGAATGGAAATGTCGTAGTTAAGTAATGTGAATATTGTAATGTCATATTAACATAATACGTTTGTAAAAAATGGGTAAAAAAGGTCACGCGAGGGCAAAGTACAAAGTCCGAAACATTTGCAAAAAAGAACAATTGTAAAAAATGTTCTCAAGCTTGGTTAGTAAAACTACTCTACAGCAATTTTTATATAGAATACTAACACAGTTGGATAGTATTTCAAGAAAAATACGAGGTATTTCGTCATTTAATCAAAGACAAAGACAACAAATATGAAAACAATAAAATTAATAAACAGTATGGACAAGTACGGTTTTAGTTCGCTTCATCTCATAAATAGATCTCTTTTTATCGAAAGGCCCCAGAAATTTTCAGGGAAAAAATATAAATCTGTGGCTGCTTTAGTTGTATTTTTTATTTAGGATGGTGTCAAATTCCTCGGCTATCTGCAAATAAGATTTGCAGCTCTTCACAAAGTCAAAACACAGCTATTCCTGACTTCTTTAATAGTTATAAACATTGTAAAATTTACCTTGTAATTTCGACTTTCGCTAACAAAAACATATTGAGAAAGTTCTTTAACCAAAGAAGGTGCTCCTTTTCTTTAGTTTAGGTTTATTTTTCTTCGTTTTGAATAGTTTTGAAAGACTTTTAGACACTTTTTGCTGTTTGAAACTCGGCTCTTGTCGCGGGGCAAAAAAATTGCGTATTGCCCGTGGGCAATACGGGAAAACCCTGCCTCGTCAGCAGCCAATCAAATTGCGCGATTCATCAAAACAAATGCTTGCCGTATAATAAAATGTTATATTCACATTATAGCGGCACAAAATCACAAAGCCAAGTGTGTTTGAAAAATTTCGAACGAGCTTGGAACAGATATTGACATGCAGTAACGTAAACTTCAAAGATTTTCTAGAGGAACGTTTTCTCGAACCCGCCCCCCCCCCTCGCCCCCCCTCTTTACTGTAGATGTATCGTTGTACCAAAATTGGACGCCCTCTTTTAGGATCCTGACTAAAAGCCTGGGTCCAGTTGTCATGTGTATATATATTTTTGGGTGTGCAGGTTCAAGTTCACCATATGTTCTAAATATCTTACAGTGTCGATGCCACTGCAGAAGATGGAACACTTGGCCGGTTATTGAACCACAGTAGATCTGGGAATTGTAAAACTAAAGTTCATATGATCAAGGATCAGCCACATCTTATCTTTGTAACAACACGTGACATCAAGATTGGCGAGGAGCTTGCTTATGATTATGGTGATCGGAGTAAAGATGCTGTACAATCGCATCCTTGGCTTAAGTATTAATCTTGGTCTATTCAGTCATGTAAGTACTAACATAGTCAATAGAATAAAAAGGTTAGGGAACACGATGCTGACATAATAGACCTCATAATTAAGAAAAAAAATATGTGGGTTTCCGGTTTCCCGACCCTACCTAGCTTTTGGACGCCGAAATCCCGACCCTAAACTTTTTTATTGGATCATGCTTGTAAGTGTTTCCACTTAGAGGAAAACGTTTGTGAAAAATGGAAATTTGAGGCAATATTAGGGAAATTTATATTTGAATGTGGAAGCACTGACTAAACAAAATGGCGTCCGGTTGTTTTAAAAAAAAAAAGAAGTTGAAACCGACCTACCCTACCTAAGTTTTTACAAGAAAAAATAGGAAACCCACATATTTTTTTTTGGCCGTATCTATGTTTTTATCTTGGCTTGTGCACGAAATGGTCGGTTCATTGGACCACGTGTGTTATGTGTATTGTATATTTGCCAGAGCAAGTCTGAGCAACCAATAGCATTGTTTTCTATGTTATTTTACGGTTATTTAATGTGTAATGTCACAACTGGGTAATTAATAAACACATTGTTGGGTGAAAAAACAATACACACGTGACAATGTCCCGACCATTTTTTGCACAAACTAAGACAAAAACGGATAATGAGGACTATTATGTCTGCATCGAGTTCCCTGACCTTCTTATTAACTATGTTTAGAATGAGACAAGCTGTTTAGGTTCAGACCACCCTGGGATTAGGAATCAACGGACAAACACAGACATCATGGTTGCAAGAATACTGCTTATCTCAAGGATGGAACTATAGTCAACATTAGGCAGTTGCGATATTGAAAAAAGTCGATATATCGATATCGAAAAAAAATATATCGATAATATCGAGTATATCGAATTAAGCAAATGAGAAAACGTAACTTAGTCAACTTGCATGTATACGCATCACAAACAGTTAAAAAGTGCACGAAACCAGTCATGGTTCGTCTCAAAGATTTATTAACAACAGTTTATCCGTTTATGAAAGTTTAAAGATATATTTACAAGCCAAACTGCGCGCACGTTGTCTAAACTTCACCGGTGAAAACAACAATTGCCGAATAATCGGAGATTGAGTTGTTTAGTTAGGCCAAAAAAAAATATGTGGGTTTCCGGTTTCTTCTTATAAAAACTTAGGTAGGGTAGGTCGGTTTTAACTTCTTTTTTTTTAAACTTTTTTTTATTTTTCCGAATAAGCGGACGCCATTTTGTTTAGTCAGTGCTTCCACATCCAAAGGTAAATTTCCTTAATATTGCCTCAAATTTCAATTTTCCACAAACTTTTTCCTCTAAGTGGAAACACTTACAAGCATAATCCAATAAAAAAGTTTAGGGTCGGGATTTCGACGTCCAAAAGCTAGGTAGGGTCGGGAAACCGGAAACACACACATTTTTTTTTTGGCCTTACAACTTTCGATATTTTCGATGTGCGAAAAATCAAATATCGAATATCGATATTTTTGAAATATCGATACAACTGCCTAGTCAACATTGACCTTGTACCCAGTCTCTTAACTATACAATCTTACCATAATGTAGGAGCCATATGGAAGGAGTGTAGATGAAAGAGCCTGAGATTTCATGTTATGTTATTTCAGTTTGCATGTACTTTATTAAAAGTTGTACAGACAAGTTGTCGAGGAAAATGCATCACTCTATATTAATCTATATAAGATATAATGACCGTGTCCCTTGCTGTCCTTTCATGTCCTTGTGTGTCTTGTACATTTATCTACGTGGAGAATTTTCTGAGTAATAATCAATAATGAATTAGTGTACAGTATGGAAACGACCAATTAAGGCAATTGCGTCATGACAGAAATCATACGCCTCAAAAATCTGATATTAGAGGTGGCTCAATACAGTTTTTAAAAAAATGAAAAATTAACGATATAAATGCGCATTTTTGGACAATTATTACTTGTTGATAAACAAAAAGTACCTTACTTATATAAAACAATATCTAAAGAGTTTTGGCAATTTAAAAATTCTGTGGAGCCAAAAATATGAATCACCTTTACGTATTTAATTAAAAAAATTCGGCTCCACAGAATTTTTTTTAATTGTCAAAATAATTTATTATACTACGGTCGTTCCAATTGAAGTGTTCTTCAAATATTGATTCAATACATTACCTTGGATTGACCAATTCATTTCATCAAGTTCCTCGAAATATTCATACACTTCCTAATATAATTCATAATAATTGTAAACTTCCTGTTGAATAGTTTGAATGCACCAATCAATCACCTTTGTTGTTTGTGCAACTAACCAATCATAAATAGAAAGGAAGTGACCAGAAATGATCAAATTCTTGGAATTGGCTCTTTCACAGGAAGTGTATGAATATCTCGAGGAACTTGATGAAACGAATTGGTCAGCCTGGGGTAATGTATTGAATCAATATTTGAGGAACACTTCAATCCACCACTTCAGCGGTAAAACGCACGTGTAAATTCCAAGGGTGTCACGTGGTACAAAATGTAAACATTGCGGACGAATGCTCTGTTGTCTGTTGTGTAATAGGAGTTAATATGGCGCTCACTGTCATGGTGGATTACCTATACTAACTGCACAATTATTGCGAAATTGTGCGTTTATCACATTAAAATTTATTTAGTAAGGTCTGTGGAACGTTGGCACAACTGCTTGTTCTCATGCATAAATTTTTAACTAGTTTTTGGGATTGGATTTATTCAAATTTGAGGTGATTTTGAACACATATTGGTTATGTTACTCATTCTATGAGTAAAATATTGTTAGTTTATACTTTGTTCTAGTTTTTTATAGCTTTTATATTGTCTTGGCAGTTGAAATATATGTGGTTGTTTACGAAATATATTGAATTATTTGTTAATTGTTCGTTCATTTTATACATGATGAAACCCGAAATTAATAGTTCGATGGTCACAAAAATTTGAGCATAAAAATGTTAAAATTGGTGCACCAAAACACTAGCTATTATATTTGAAATCACTGGAACACAACTAGTTTTAAATACGTTTGAATTTAATTTTATAACATGCAGTATTTCAAAAGTTTTGAAACAGATAATCGATCAGAATTTTTGGGATGCAAGCATGTATGAAATTCAATTCAAACTTATTTAAAATTAGTTATGTTCCAGTTATTTCAAATATAATAGCTAGTGTTTTGGTGCACCAATTTTAACATTTTTATGCTCAAATTTTTGTGACCATCAAACTATTAATTTCGGGTTTCGTCACGTATTAAATGAACGAACAATTAACAAATAATTCAATATATTTCGTAAACAATCACATATATTTCAACTGCTAAGACAATATAAAAGCTATAAAAAACTAGAACAAAGTATAAACGAACAATAATATTTTACTCATAGAATGAGTAACATAATAAATATGTGTTGAAAATCACCTCAAATTTGAATAAATCCAATCCCAAAAACCAGTTAAAAATTTATGCATGAGAACAAGCAGTTGGGCCAATGTTCACAGACAATTCACAGTACTATTTGGTTTGTGGGTTCAAATCCCAAAACACTTAATTTTTATTTATAAAAAAGGATCCGATGGATTCAAAGGATGCGATGGATAAATAGATCCTTTTTTTAAAAGGATCCAATGGATCCGATGGATATCTATTTATCCATTGGATCCTTTGGATCCATCCGATCCATTGGATCCATCCGATCCATCGGATCCTTCGGATTCATCCGATCCATTGGATCCATCCGATCCTTCGGATCCATCCGATCCTTCGGATCCATCCGATCCTTCGGGTCCATCCGATCCATTGGATCCATCCGATCCTTCGGATCCATCCCATCCTTCGGATCCATCCCATCCATCGGATCCTTCCGATCCATTGGATCCTTCCGATCCTTCGGATCCATCCGATCCTTCGGATCCATCCGATCCATTGGATCCATCCGATCCATCCGATCCATCCGATCCTTCGGATCCATCCGATCCTTCGGATCCATCCGATCCTTCGGGTCCATCCGATCCTTCGGATCCATCCGATCCTTCGGGTCCATCCGATCCTTCGGATCCATCCGATCCTTCGGATCCTTCCGATCCATCGGATCCATCCGATCCATCGGATCCTTCCGATCCATCGGATCCTTCCG